TAAAGTCATAACTCAAAAGAAATTTTTTAAACTTTCTATGCCTCATCAAATCCCAACTTCTCCACATTAATGGCAAACCCAACTAGGTTCAGTCAGAGGAACTTCATTCCAATATGGGGTATCTATCCTGCTCCCTACACTTCTTCTTGGTAATACATACAACCACCAAACTCCATCTTGCCTCCTCCTAAAACCTATACTTTCTTTAGCATATTATTCCTACAATGGATTACTCTTTGGGTCTTACTTCTTTCCTCCTCCTCCCCCTCCTCCTCCTCCTCCTCCTCAATGCCAGTGTTCAGTAAAATCTGTGACAGAGAAGTGTCAAATATCAAGAAGAGAGAGTAAAAAGCAAGGATAGGATGGAAAACCTCATTACAGCATGGCCTCTTGCCATCCAGACTTTGTCTCTCATTACTGTCCTAGCAAGAGTTAGCAACAAAATGGGATGAGAGAGAGCATGCGGGAAACATCCGTTTCCCATTGTCACTTCACTGTTTCCCTTCCAGGGCCTCAGTTCCCTCCTCACCACTCACAGACTTCCCATTCCCAATATGGCTCATTGTGGCCCCCCATGCCTTCTTGTCTTTGTCCCCTTGTCTCCTCTGACTCCACTATGATCATTACCTCTCCCCAAACTCCCAAATTTTACCCTTTTGTCTCAGCAGAGATGGAGTAAGTAGGACAAAAATGTACTTGGGGCAAACAGGGCCCTTAAATCAACTTTTAAGACAAACTGAATTGTTGAGTTGAAAGGGAAGGATCTTGGGACACACCCCAGGACTCATCTGAAGGAGTAGAGAGAAGAGGAGGTAGGGAAAAATTCACATATCATCTGGAAGCTTCCTATTTTAAACAATTATTTTTGCTCACTAGGTACTAAGCTAAGTTGTTTCTATAATATGGAAGGACTGCAATCACTGTTCTACACATTTTTAAGTTCTGGAAGAAGGCTCTAGTTGCCTTTCCTTAATAGCAGCTATCTCCCCCATAGCCTCTCTATTCATACTGTTAATTCTCCACTCCAAAGTCCCCTTTATTCTAGAGTCCCTGACTCTACCTAGCTCTTACTCTGTCTCAGCTGCTACCCCAGGCCAAAGGAGCCATTAACAGTGGTTTGGATCTAAGAGAGTTATTAATTCCACTACTACTCAGGTGGAAGGATGGAAGGAGAGAAGTTCTTGCTGCTGGAACTTGTCAAGGGAAGGGAATGTCTGTTGCTAGCTTTTCCAAGTTAGAATTCAGAATGTATTTTCCCATAGGAACAGTATTATAAATGGTGAATAGTTTCTAGAGTACTATAGCACTATGTTTCAGAGATATTATAAGTTAAACTCATTGGGATGGCCCAGGAAACTAACCACCATTTATAATGTTGCTTCATCATAAATGTATTTCAAGTTCCAAAAACCTGACTTTTATTATGAGCTTTTGGAATAAACCCTGAGTATACATAGAAGGCACACAGGAAACTTCTCCAAGTAAATTCTCCCTTCAACGATATTATTTACTTAACAATTCTAAAACAAGATGGAAGTCACACATCTAGAACAACATGGAAGTCTAACGTGTTCTAATGAACATAATAAAGAAAATATATATGGGAAAGATCACATATTTTGGGCTAGATTATCAGGTAAAATTGCTTTTAAAGATAGGGACTCTGGGTAAGAAAATTACTCAGATCTTGGTGTCAAAGTAAATTAGAATAGATAGATTATTCTCTAATCTACATGTACAGACCCAACAACTAAATCTGAAGGAAAATTATGAACTTACATCTAGGCCTAGGTCTTCAGCCTTTACCAAGAGATAACACAGACTCTAAGAGATAAAAGCTACCTTAGAGACTATTTTACAGATAAGGAAACTAAAGACCAGAGAGGGAAGTGATTTGTCCAATACTAAAGATCTAATATCAGAGTCAGGATATGAATCCAAATCTGGTGATAGGAAAGCCAGAATTACGCTTCAGCTCCCAGTTTTGGGTTTTTTGGTTTTTTTGGTTAACAAAACACAAATCCCTAGGTCATACTTCTAAGTGTCTCCCTGAAGTTCATTTCCAGCATCAGACACTTACTAGCTATGTGACCCTGGGCTAGTCACCTAGATTTTTTGCCTCAGTTTCCCTATTTGTAATAGCATCTACTTCCCAGGGTAGTTGTGAGGATAAAATTAGATATTAATTTTCAAGTCTTTAGCAAAACTTAAAGCACTATATAAATGCTAGCTATTTATTACTATCATTACTACTATCATATTATCCCTACCACTCCTCACTTCCAGGGCTATCTACAATGAAGTACACTAGTAACTTCAGATATTATACTGAAATATAATAATCATCTTTATACTCTAGAGCCGGGTGAGGAACCTGTGGCGTCAAGTCGACATGTGTTCTTCTAGGTCCTTGGGTGCAGCCTTTTGACTAAGTCCAAGTTCCACAGAACAAACCTTTTTATTAAGGGGATTTGTTCTGTGAAGTTTGGATTCAGTCAAAGAGCTGCACTTGAGGATCTAGAGGTCCATATGTGGCCTCAAGGCCACAGGTTCCCCACCCCTGCTCTAGGAGTAGGGAAAAAGTGGGGGGCAGAGGTAAAGAAGAAACACTTCCTTTGATTATGTCACATTGTTTTCTGATTATTTCATGTATGTAAGCCTTGTAGCCCATATGAGATTACAAAATTCTTGAGATTTGATAAACCAAGTCTTTTTTTTTGTTTCATTGTGCCCAGCAGATGCTCAATGAAAATATATGGCATATAATAATAATTAATAATAATAATAACTTGTACATAGAGCTTTAAGGTTTGTAAAAAAAATTTTTAAATAATTTTCCCATTTCACTCTGCTTGTGACTTAAGAACTGTGAAAAAGGTAAGAGGTTACATGAATGGTAAAAGGATAATTAATGGGAACCAAAGTAATAGATGTCAACAAGGTTTGAGCCCAAGGCTACAAGACATATAACTTACTAAGGGAGAAGTGAATAAACATTTATATAGCACCTACTATGTACCAGGTTCTGTGTTAAAAACATTTTTAACAAATATTTTCTCATCTGATCCTCACAACAACCCTGTGAGATTGATGGTATCATTATCAGTTCAAGAAATTGAGGCAAATAGAGAAGTGATTTGCCCATCAGGGTCACACAGCTAATAAATTGCCAAGCAGTGTCACACAGCTAATAAATGTCAGAGGCAGAATTTTAACTCATCTTCCTGACTCCAGGCCCAGTGCTTTGTCCATTGTTCCACCAGGTGCCTTTGTAGAATATTTATTAAGGATGTCAGAAAATAGCCTTAGATTTGATGCTTCCTGTGGAGTGGTTAGAAACTCACCTGAATATGATGAAATTGGAGGTGTAGATGGAGAACCAGTGTTATGATGAAGTAAACTTGAAGAGTTTGAATGGATAAGAGTGTGTTTGAATTGAATATTTGGCATTTTATGGGAGGATTCACTTTAATAGTAAATGTGAATATGCAAAAAGGGGGTTAGGTCTTAGAGATGATGTACAAAGCTGTCCAGGCCCAGGGAAGCACTTAGCCTTGACCCTTACATAATGGTGAACAGGGTCCTGGTCTCCCTCCCTCCTTCCCCATTCACTGCCCAACATGTATGCCAGCATGGAAGAGCTGTGATGGGAAACTGAATAATATTGGGCCTCACAGTACTTATCTGAATCAGGAACTTTCGGAGCTTTTCCCAACCGGTTTTGGAAAGAGAGGCCCTGAGCCATGTGTGACTATGAGTGGCAGGTTTGCAACTGAGGAAACCACTAAACTATGGGTGTCATGATGTCCCAATCTATCAATCAATTAGCTAGGCACAGTGTCAAGTGCTGGGCAGACAAAATCTAAACAAATTCTTGGAGGAAAATAGCATAAAGATAATTTTTAAAAGAGAGGCAGTAGCAACTAGGGGATCAGGGAAGGTCTCATATAGGAGATGATACTTGAGCTGGGCTTTGAAGGAAGCAAGGCATTCTCAGGGGCCAACGTGAGGAGGCATGCCAGGAATCAAAGACAGCCTCTGTAAAGACGTGGAAATAGAGGGAATGTCATGAAGGAGAAACTGCAAATAGGCCAGGCTGGCTGGAACACAGAGTGTTGTAATACATACTTTTAATGCATTTGAAAATGTAAGCTGGAGCCAGATTATAAAGGACCCAAAATGCCAAATAAAGGAGATTACATTTTATTCTAGAGGCAATAGGGAGCCATGTTGATTTTTGAGCAGGGGAATGACACGGTCAGACTTGTGCTTTAAGAAATATTGCTTTGGTAGTTGTGTGGAGGATGGGTTGAAAAGGGGAGAGGAGAAGCAGGAAACTTAATTAGAAAATTATTGCAATAGATCAGGCAGGAGGTGGTGAAGGTTGTGTGAGTGAAAAGCCAAACACAAATATAACAGATGTTATGGAGGCAGAATTGACAAGACTCAGCAACTGGAAGTGTGGAGAGAGAGAGAGTGATGGGTTTCGGGAAAATGGAAGGAAAGATGATTCAGATAAAAGAAAATCATTGAATAAAGAATTGCACACTTTCTCATTGTATGCCAAATTTCAATAGCTACAAGAAACCCTTTAGAAAAACTAGCTTTGAAACACTGATTATGAGACATGAATTTAGAGCTGAAATAAGTTCTTACAGTTTTCATCCTGGGCAATGCATTGTAAAGGGATCCCAAAGAAAGATGTGTAGCTGTCATTGTACCACACCAGAAGCTCAGTGCCCCTGGGGATATCGATACAGGCTCGGTAGAATATATTTGACCTATTCAAAACAAAAAGAAAACCCAGCTTAGTAACAAGTATGATGCATTTACTCTATCTACACTTTTATAGCCTTCAAAAGTTTCTGTCTTCTTGCTCCTAAATAGTCTCTGTTTGTCATAAGTCTATACCCACCTTATCATCACCAGGCCTCAATTAGTGCCTATAACCAAGTGCCTATAAACAACTTGCATTTTATTTCCATGGTGTCCCTAGAGAGAGCTTCTTTAATGAATCAAAAGGCTATCTCATCCAAAAGGGACTAGAAATCAAGAGCTTATAAAGAAACAATCCATTTTGTTCTGAGAGAAATCCTCCCTCATCAAAAATAGAAAAAACACTAGCTCCCTAGCCTGATGGGACATTGCCTTCTTATTTGTGAGGGAAAACATTAAGGAGATTTCTCCAACTTGTAACTGAAAGTTACCAAATCTGTAATAAAACTAAACTGTCCTGCCATCTAAGGACTTAGTGAAATAAAAATCCTTTTGGCCTCTTTCTTCCTAAATTTTGATACAGGAGAAGAGTCAAACCCCTGAGTCAGAGCGAAATTCAATAAATACAGGAGGAACCCTTCACTCTGAAGGATTAGGCACCAAAACGATACAGCCAAACTACAAAGAAATGAACATTTTTTATAACAGCTAGTGTGCTAGAGAAAAACATATCTATGGACTGAAAAAAAAAAGTGAGACTTCCATTGGTTTTTTTTTCCTTTCAATGAAGAATGGCTACAAATATTAGCCTGAAGTTCAAGATAAAAGTGTTTAGGGCTGGTAAGCCTTAAATTTAGTCTTTCTGTAAGGAATTGGCCCTAGCAGTGCAATTTGTTCCTTGTATAACACTGCAGACATAAGGAGAATCCTTCCCCACATTTTTCATGGCAGTGAGATATGCACTTGTCAACATATTTTGTCACCACAAAGTGGCTCTTGGCAATAGGATCATAAAGATCAATAAAAAAGTGCAGATTCTCAATATTTTACTTGCAGCTGCAAAAATTTCATTTATCTTGTTATTTTCCTCACTCAGTGCCATTCTGTCTCACGAGGGCACTGCTAGCTAAGCAGAATGTTTTTCCCCAACATTCTATGAATATCTGACAAAAACACCAACCGTTGTCTGGGCCCTCCTGACCCCTCCTCCTCTAGCATTTCCCAAAGCTGTGCATTTTATTAATTCTTTCCACCATTACACTAGAAAAAAATCAAAACTGGAGCTGTGCTATAAATTACCGACATCTCCTAACTTGAGAAAAATCAAGACTACTTTGTACTTCAGCCTTGTAACATTTCATCTCTCCATTTGGCTTCCCTTAACATAAACACAGTGGTCCGGCAAATGAATGTGCTAAAACCAAATGACACACTTTGCTGCTGAAAGAGCAGAACTGTTTTCAAGCAATGGGTGGTCTTCTTAGGCTTGGAGTAGGCCGAAAGAGAGAAAAAAAGTGTAAGTGTACACCGTTCCTTACAAGCAGACAGAGCTTCCAAAACTCGCAGAAATCTCTGCATGTTGAAGCACATCAAAGGGATTTTTCCCTTTTCGGATAATATTTCCTTTGCTGACATGTATTTAGTATTGTGGATGGATGACTCATAAAGATAGCTTCATGGCGTCCCCACACAGTTGAAGGAGAACACATGCCAACAAACATTATTGTCAGCCTCAAAATAAAAACAAAACGTTCAGCTGAGGGTCAATCAATCAAGGGCGCTTTGAAGAAAATTCCATTTAGATATTACAAATCATAACAGAATGAATTTAAACCAGCTGACTTTTTGTGAAGAGGACGTCCATGCACAATAAAAATTAGGCTGGCTCTTCAGTGTCCAACTTTTCTATTTTCTTACACTTGGACTGAGTCATTGGTGATGGATGCCAGTTTTTTAAATTGTGTTTTTGTAGTTCATTTTAGAAAGATCTGAAGTAATCGAAAACAGATCATCAGAGGGAACTCTAAGTAAAAGCTCCATCATGAAAGGAAAGTTGTAAAATTCACTTAATATTGACAGATGGTAATGACTTACTCATGACCACCTTCCTCTTAGGTTTTTTTCTCAGTTTTTTGAGATGTGGCATTTGTCTGTAAAAGTTCTCTTGGTACCCAAAGCATCATTAACCTTTGCTGAATAGATAGAAAAAAAGTCTTTGCTACTCTTCTTGCTGGATGTTCTATAAAACTGCATGAAAACCATGCATCTATATTAAACACAAGTAAAGACTATGTATAACATTGGAATTAATCTTTCCTTTAAATTATCATTTTCATTTAAAAAAAAAAAGCCACAGAGAACATCTAGGCATAAAGGCATGATGGTCAAACTGTTTTGCCCTAAGTAAGTTGGTACAATTTAGGAAGTAAATCAGAGTTTCACAACTTTTAACCTGTGTCAGGAAGAAATTTAAAATGTTTCATTCGAAAACCAAAACAGAAAAGAAAAATAAATAGCTGTGGGCAAAAATGCAAGTTGGCCCGAAAAGGGAATTCTGCTTTGATGTGTCTATAATGCCAAATAAAGCTAAACAGTTGCTTCTGATACTAAAAGGAACATAATTGTTTATAACTGAGGTCATATATTTATATGACACATGTTTTCATGGGATTTTGGTGTGAGAACACTTAGCTGTGCTTTAGGTTATTTTTGGGTTTTTATCCAATTGATTTGCATCTGTCTACTCACGTTTACTCTAACCCTCCTGACAGTTAAGTAAGAAAGGCTTGAACTACAGGTGCGTTGAGCTGATGTGGTTTACTATCTTGTAAATCCTGCTTTTTACTTTGCCTCCCAAATCTGAGTGAAAAGGTTGCTTATCATCCACACCACTTAAAAAACCATAGTGTCCCTTTAGACTCGAAAACAACCTCAGCACCTCAAGCCACATTCCCAGTGATGGACATACCTGAGCTTTGTGGCAGCTCAGTTAGAGGTGGAGAGATGGGTTCTCCAGACTCAAACCAGTTGCTGCAGAACAACCTGTCAACATTCCTGCAAGGATTACCTTGGGCCAGTGATTCACGCATTGCTTTTGTGTAGATGAAATAGTTTCCCTTGGGAGAGCGACTGAAGGCAGTTAAGTGTGAGGATTGAGGTTAAGTCTAAAGGACAAGGGACCAAATCACATGTGACTCAGTGCCTCAGATTCTGTCCAGGGCCCCTAGACTCAGCTTTATTGGCCTTTGCTTTGGTCACCAAGTCATGCATAGCACACTGAGTTACAGGCCTTAAGGATGACTTTCTTTTTGCTCCAAAATTGTGATTTCATTAATGTGGGGAATTCATACTGAGGAAACAAGCCACTGATGCAGACTGGCAGCTCCTCTGTGACTTATCTTTTGAGATAATTTTATGGGGCACTGAGTAGTTAAATGATTTGCCAAAGTCCCATAGCTAGTATATGTCTAAGCCTGAAGTTGTACCCATTTCAACAGAACTTCAGGGTTGGCACTCTATCCATCAAGACACACACACACACTGGTTCTCTCAGAATACTAACTTAATATTATGATTTTACTATAATAATAGAATTTATTTTAATTTTGAGCAGTGAATAAAAAGGGATTCTTCTCCTAGTAATCTTATTCTCAAATTCTCAACAAAAAAAAAGCTAAGAACTAAATACCATTTGGAAATCTTGCACAAAAATTCTGCCAGCCTAGTCATGCTTTGCAGTATTTTTAAAAGCCAGTTAGCAGGCCTGAATTTTCATACACAATATATGGTGTTTTGACTTTCATAAATGGTAAATAAATCAAGGTATACCTTACCTGTACTGTACTACTGTTAGATTCTGTTCTCCGCAGTGCCTAGCACATCGAATATATCTCATCCAGCTTGACTTACTAGGTTCCCCACCATCAATAAAGTGCTGTAGTGTCCCATCTTGGTCATATATCTAGAGAAGAGGTCAAAAGGTCAAGTAGTTAGAACAAATCATCAGCAATCATTTTTCCTCCTTCTCTTGATGTCTTCATGTGTCTGCTACAGAAATTTATAACCCTGAGATTTGCCAGGGCTTACTGATGCTCTCAGAAACTCAAGTGAAATAAGAAGAAATGTTTTTTGGTGATGCAAGTCTATCACAGTTTTCTTATCGAGCCAATCTTTCTCATATTAAACATATTTGTGGTGTCTCAAAGATGTGGCCATGTTTCCCAAAGGATATTTAACCTATTTTGACAAGCGACTCTAAGTAATGAACTGCTGGATAAACAAAGAAATCTGGATAGAGAGGCTGCACTGACATGGCTGGAACATCTGAACCAAAGTCTGCCAGCCCTAAACTCATTAGAGTTCTTGGATATTCTAGAGGTAGCAAATGTTTGCTAAACAAGATGAGGAGGCAGGAGTGAGATGCAGCCATGGAGTTGCATAGCCTTAGAGGCAGAAAACAATTCTTTCTAAAAGACAGAAAATCTCATCTCACTTTATAGAAGTGTAGGGCTTCCATTGTTAGGAGCTGGAATTATTAGAAGGAACAACTTCATCAAAGAAAAAGGAAGATAGAGGGAAAAAATATTAATTATCTATTAAATCTAAATCTCTTAGTTTGAGAACTACTGACAGATGAGGTTTGTCAGATTTTTTTTTCTGGTGAGAATTTGGGAAAAAAAGAATCGGCTTTAAATGCAGCAATAAAGACAGCCCAAAAAGGCTGATGAAGCATGATATCTAGTATAGAGAGTTCTATGTTGGGAGACTTGCTTTCTGGATCCTGGAATGGCATATAATCATTGAGAATAACCATTCTCAACCAAATGGCAATAAGTAAATATATCAAGGTTTGACCACTGACCACATTCACTTATAGACCACCTTTCAACCTACTACTTGACTCATTCCCATATTTAATCTTATAATCTTATTATCCCAAGCTCCAGAGTAATCCTAAGGTTTTTTAGATATTTTCTTTCTAACTAAAAAAAATTGGAATCTCTCATTAATTAAATATCTACCTTAGTTTACTATGTTATTTAATAAGCTAGAGAAACCTTTTGCAATAGTAGCTACTCACATATGTCTATGTATTAAATATCTTACTATTATGTAATTAAATAAATATTAAAGTTACCAAATATATAATTTATTAACAAATGAAACCAATAATAAAACAGACTTTTTTAAAACAATATTTTGGCTGTGAGAAACATTATAACCTGAGTAACTTCAAACCATCAACATAATAGTAGATGACTTCACTTCTGGAACCATAATTTAACCATTCTGTTTACTCTAGATTACTGATTTACTGATTAAAGCCTCAAGAATCCTCTCCATAGTCTTCTTAAAAAGAGTTAATTTCAGTTTCTCTTAAAATGTCCTCTCATTAGGGGCAGCTAGGTGGCACAATGGATAGAGCACCAGCCCTGAAGTCAAGAGGACCTGAGTTCAAATCCAGCCTCAGACGAAACACTTGACACTTATTAACTGTGTGATCCTGGGCAAGTCACTTAACCCCAATTGCCTAAAACAAAAAAAAAAAAAGTCCTCTCATTTGTCATCACAAGGAACAGTCTTTCCTGAATACACTATAAACCAACAATTCTTCACAATTTTGGCTTAGTACAGACACATATTGGGACCAATTTCTGCAGACAGGAAGGAGAGGTTTCAAAATAGCTATACGAATTTCTGGTAGTTGTACTTCCCAGTCCAGGAAGAGACTGGATTATTGTATGGTTTAATCTGGGGAATGGAATTCTCCAATCCCAGCATCCGTTGAAGAGGTCTATGATGGATTATATTAAAGACAAGACTGTTTGGAAGCAGGAGAGCAGAGCAGGCTCTCATCAGAGGCATGGATAGGCTGATGGCTGAAGAGGACAAGAATGATATTAAGTGCACTCAGGCTCCACCAGGGAGATTTGTCAGACATGACAGCTAGGACCAGAACCTGGTGAATATTCCCCTGGTTGATAACAGAGGTGGCATATTTACCTCTAGAGTTTACTGTTCTTTTTAAGTTGTTTGTCAACTGTTTTCATAGTACTTTAAAGGCAGCTGTATCTAGATAAAGACAAGATTGATCTTAATTGCTATTGGGTCATGTATATCTTTAATTATATACAGAGAGTGTAAATATGGAACACCAGTGTATAGACACAGGTTTAAAATCAGGATTGAGGGACCATATCTCTACCTAGCTAGCCAGGATTTTTCTCTTAGCTTGGAGGTGGGTGAGTGGGGTTCTAAGCTATCTTTATATGAACCTTGTATGAACCTTTTGTTTTATAAGCTCCTTGAAATAGCAGAGCAAAGGATCCAGGTTGGTCTGAAGGTCATTATATTACCCCTATCTAAAACTATAAGCTCTTCAATTATGGTAGGATAGATCAATTTTAACACAGGAGCTTCAGGCAGTTTCTAGCCTAGCTCCAACAAAATGGTGGAAGTCAGGGAAAAGAGAATGTTGACCAAAGGGATGGTTATGCCCCAAAATAAATACAGGAGGAGGAGAAAGAAAAGATCTGGGAGTATCAGCCCTTTATTTTTCAGATGGGAGGAGGGAAATCCCTCCTTAACCAAACTTTGCCCTCCAAAGTGCCACCTACTGGTTATAAATTGTAAATTGTGCTGGTTTCATTTTTTAAAATGTGATCCTCTTTTCTCTGGATGGGAGCCAACCCTTTATTTTTTGCTAATTTTAGGCAAAGTTTCCTGCAACATATTGCAAGCATTTAGCATACTCATGGTATAGACATGTTAATTTTGAAATTTCCTATGTTAACTAATTTTTACAACTTAAATATAAAGTTGAATCCAATCTAGTATTGGCTATTTTTGAGGAAAATTATTGAATATGTAATTCTATTTTAATTTTTCATTTTGCCAGATTTACTATCTTGTTCAATTCTGGTAAGTAATTAACTTTCAGTGTATATTTTTTTTCTTATTATGAAATTTCATTTTCTTATCTCTCATATAATCATTTTTGCTTGTTTTACTTTGAATGCATAATCCAAGAAAAGTAGGCAGAAGAAGAGCCTTGCAGATTCAGAGAAAATAAAGAATGTTACATAAAATCTGGTTGAAAAGTTGACCCAGGGGCAAGCTTATTCTACCTGGAAAGATAATAGAACAAAGGAATGGAGTCCATGCTGGCCTGATACATACACACTAACATCAAGAGAAAAGCACAAAGGAAGATCTACATTCTGTTACACCTGTGGTTAAGATGTCCACATACATACCCCCAAAAAGCAATGCAATATTGGTGGGGTAGAAGGTGAGGACTATATTACTAGCTTCAGAAAAAAGAGATGGAGCCAAGAAAAGAGGTTGCCCCAATGCCCTCAAGTAATGAGCATATCTTCATCAGGAGTTTCAAATAGGTCTTTTCCACTGGAACTCATACGGTTTTGGAGAAGACTGTTAAAAAAATTCCATATCCAAAAATTTGATTTCTAATTAAGTTTTTTCAATCAAAAAAAAATTCACTTTCTTTTCTTTCTACTTCTCTCCCCTCTGCCCATTGAGAAAACAAGAAAACAAAACTTCTGTTACAAACATATGAGAAATACAAACTCCCATATTGCCCATTTCCCCCCAAAAATGTTTCAAATTGTAATCTGATTTCAACACCTCTCTATCTAGAGGGAGGGTAGCATGTTTTATCTTAAGTCTTTTCGAAGTCTTCATAATATTGTTGGCACTGTATAAATTGTTCTCTTGATGCTGTTCACTCCACTTAGCATCAGTTCATACAAGTCTTCCCAGGTTTCTCTGAAACTGTTCCTGTCATCATTTCTTAAATCACAATGATATTCTAGCACATTTGTTTACCATAACTTATCCAGCCATTCTACAATTAATGGGCACCATCTTAGTTTCTAATTCTTTGCCACTGCAAACAGAGCTCCTATAAATATTTTTGTACACATGGGTCTTTTTTCTCTTTCTTTTATCTCTTTAAAGTACAGGCTTAGTTATTCCTGTTGAAAAGACCAGAGCTGAATAGAAAATTTGACCTTCAAATACATGACTCAAGTGAAACATGGAAGAGGTAAACAGGAAAGAGAAATCATAAGAGACTTATTAAGGTTGAACTGTTACATTCCTGCAGGGAAAGATGATATTTGTAACTCATGAGTCCTTTGTCAGTATTAGGGTAGTGGGAGGGAAAAAATTATATGTATGTATAGATAGAGGGCACAGGGTGAGTTGAAGATGAAGGGGTAATATCTGGAAAATAAAATTAAGGGGTGAGAGAGGATTATACTGGGAGAAGGAGAAAGGGAGAAGTAGAATGAGGTAAAATATCTCACATGAAACAGACAAGAAAAGGCTTTTAGAGTGGAGGGGAAATGGGGGAAGGGGAGAGGGAATGAGTGAATCTTATTCTCATAGGATTTGACTTAAGGAGGGAATAACATACACAGTGGGGTATGGAAATCTATCTTACCCTACAGGAAAATAAGGGGGGAAGTGGACAAGGGAGCAGGGGGTTGATAGAGAGGAGGGCAGATTGGGGGAGGGGATAATGAAAAGCAATCACTTCTGAGGAGGGATAGGGTCAAAAGAGAGAATAGAATAAATGGGGGGGGCAGGATAGGATGAAGGAAAATATACTTAGTTTTTCACAACAGGACTACTATGGAGGTGTTTTGCATGACCACACATCTATAACCTGTATTGAGATGCTTGCCTTTTCAATGAGGGTGGGTGGGGAGGAAGGAAGGGAGAAAATTTGTAAACCAGAGTTTTAAAAACACATGTTAAAAATTTAAAAATTAAAAATTAAAAAAAAATAAAGCACAGGCTTAGCAATAGGTCAAAGAGTATGTACAGTGTAATCGTTTGGGGGTCATAGTTTCAAATTACTTTCCAAAATACCTGGAACAAGCACTAATAGTGCATCAATGTTTTCCCAAACCCTCTCCAATATTTGTCACTTTT